CTTTCAATTGGGGTGGCGGATATCCATTTTCCATATTAACGGGCCAAACAAGGGTGACGCTTTCTGAATTTTGCGATCCTCCGAATGACAGACTTTCCTTTATGATTGACGTAATAGTCAAAGAGAAATGTACTTTGATTTGTGCTCTACCACCTCTGATGCATGAGCTTATCAAAAGAAAGGTATATTGGATTATTTACATAAAACATTTTAAAACGTGATCTCATACATACTTGTTTATAACTTATCGTAATCCCTAAATTAAAGAATACTGCAATTAATGAAGTAAATTGTCTCTTATAATAAAGCAGCTTTTTATAAGCTGCCAAAAAAGTGGGTGTGTGTTGCATTTTTTAATCGTAAAAAGTAGGATCACATGTATATCACACATATTACACATTAAATATATATGATACTTATACTGTACGATAAACAATTCAACTATGCTGCAATTATGACATTTTCCTTTTATTTTTCAAGGAACATTTGCCAGATGACTGGCCAGTTGAAGGCATACTGACTGGTGGACAGCCTCTTACTAAGCACTTAGCTGCCTGCATAGGGAAAGCTTGTAAATTCCTTCTGTGCTTGTATGGAGGCTCAGAGTTTGCAGGCGCGACTGTAGCAAAAATAACTAATCCAAATGATTTCACCGAATTTGGATGCGGAAAACCATTTAATATGCCTGGACTGGAAATTAAAATAGTGGACAAGAACGCAGAAATAGTGTCCGTCAATCAGAGAGGAGAAATATATATTCGATCAGAGGCCATGTTTACGGGCTATTTCAATGATCCGGAGAAAACAAAAGCCGTGCTCTCCGAAGACGGATGGTATAAAACAGATGATATCGGGAGGATGACCGAAGATGGCGAATTCTTTGTAGAGGGTCGAAAGTCCAATATGATTATTTCAGGGGGATTTAACGTTGCTCCAGAGATTCTTGAGAATGTTATGAAAACTTTCCCAGGTGTAGATTCCGTCATTATTGTACCAGTACCAGATGACGTTTACTATCAAGTGTTGTGTGCTTGTATTGTTAAAAAAGGAGATTGCGAAATAAGCGAAGAAGATATCCGAAAAAATTGCCACGAGTATCACGCAGACAAACCAGGACTTTTTACAGTTCTTCCGAAATACTACATGTTCCTTGAATCGTTTCCTGAAACTAGAAGTGGGAAAACTCACCGGATGGAGTTGGAAAAGATAGCACTTCAACGATTTCGTCAGAGTACTTTCTAAGATATATTTAATATAAATGTCGTGTAAGATATGCGATACGTTCTATGATATTTCTTTAAGGCATAAACCAATATTATATGTAAACAAATATATACATTTTTTGTATATGGTTAGTATAGGATAAAAGAAGGAGCACATGATGAAGAAAATATATTTATGCATTATTTGTGCATTATAATTAGTACAATATCAAATGATCATTAGAATGCTGTTAAATATTTCCTGAAGTTTATGGCTACATATACAATGTACTTAGAAGAATTTTTATGTTTGTGAATATGCATAAAACAACAAAACGGAAATAAATTTTATAAAAACTTAAAACTGTTTTTAACGTCTGATAGGGTATTTAGATACAGTGTTTATAACATGGACTTCTACTTCATCCCAGATGCATTTTCAAAATAGAATCTGAAAACATAATACTTTCTTTAGACACTAAAGATAGAGATCCAGCATTTCTTAACGCATTCCTTTGATGTTTCATAAAGTGTCGTGGTTATGGTTTCTGTATATTTAAATCCTATTGCCAATTCATATAGAGCCATCTAACAGTATCAAAATGAAGGTTTATCATTGAATTGCAATATTTAAGAGCCTAATCAAGTCAAGGTGTTTGTCTCATAGGTAACTTCGACCATATAAGGGACGTTTACAGTAGCTTGCACTTTCCAGTACTTTCCATCGATCAACAGGTTCAATCAAACCGAGCCTGCAACATTTTTTAATTTTGCCGTTTTGGGACATTCTTTAGGGATTTTATTTCTCTCTATTTTATTGCCACATCAGTATTGTTTGTGGAGGCCGTAAAAAGTCGCCCCGTACAAACAATCTGAGATGTTATATCTCGGATTCCTGATGATCGTCAAACTTGACATTACTGTTGGGTTTGTAGTACATGAAGGTTCTTCTATTTTGGTGGTTCCAGTATACTCGCTTGAATACTGTAGTATCACACAATATGTGATACTGAATAATTGTTTGAAAGGTAAATCTTAAATGTGTCTATGTTACATATAAATGTACAATTATACTGTGCCTTCTTTGACATCAGTTTTTAATCTTCATGATCAAGCATAATTATCGTATGCAAATCTAATCTTTCATGTTGACCTTATATGAAGAAGTAATATCTTATACTGACACTTGTTACCTATATACGTATGTATGTATCTTTGATGAGTTATGAATAAAGTATTAATATATCATATCAGACAAAAATTTGCTTACTTTGCTATTGCTTCGGCAAGAGTATGTATGGTTGCTATGTCTAATAAGGTTCGTCGGCACATGCAGCTTTCGCTGTCAAACATGTCACCGTCCATGCCCTTTAAGATTTATTTTTGAACCTCAGAGTGGTGATAATTTACCTTCATGCAATTTCCACAGAGTATATATGCTGACTGAAAACAAGAATAATGTTGGTTTTTAAATAAAAACCTACCAATAACAAACTACTAGAAATTCAAAAGCACAACATATTATGGCTTAAATATTCAAAAATCAAAATGCTATGCTTACAAATAATTTTCTCTTTTATTACCTCCCATTATATTTATAACATCAATACTCACAAAGACGTCCCTTTATTGTTCATTATTTGTACAGAAGTGGTGAATTTACCTTTAAAGTCAATAATGTGATGATACATGCTAAATATCCTTATCTATATAGTTATCCTCTGCACGTTGTAGGCTGGAGGAAAAGACATTTTAGACATGTATACTATATAAATCTGTGTACATGTAAATTTTGTGACGCATAAGATTAATTTTTCTTATATATGTGATTCCTTGGACAGGGCCAATTTTGATCCAAGGAACATAATTTTTATAAGTTTTGTAGCTGTCAACAAGGCATCATGGAAAATATCCAACCTTTACATAAATATTATATTTGTGGGCATATGAAAGTGTGTTCTTATTACCTCCTTTTATTCAAAGTTTTTTTGATGTTTTTTTTAAATGAAATTCAAAAATGCATGCAGCGATAGTCATGGGATAACTTTCTGCAACTTATTAAATTTGTATTTTTTCCTTTGAACATATGCTTTGTTGTAATGTATAATACAAAATCAATCCAAACAGGAAAAATTTTCATTTCTTCATTTTGATTTTTTTTATTTATTATTCTGTAAATGTCCTCAAAATGAATACAGTAGACAGTCACAGGAACAAAACTTTTCTCCGTATAAAGAATAAAATGGTGGTTTCCTAGCTTGGCCCACGTGGGTCAGGTTACAGCGTTAAAATTTCACAATAGTTGTCACTCTGGAAACGTTTAAGAAAATGTCAAATGAATGATTTAGGTTTGTTTCAATCATACAATAGCCATGATATCTGTTATTGTAACTTTCAGGGTTTGTTCAAGTCACATGACTAGTTTTAAAAAAACTCGGTGATTCTGTCGGCGTCTAAATATCGTTCAACAATTATAGATATATTTACGCTTCAAACCCAAATTATATAAAATTTATACAGAAATTAATGCTGGGACTTTAACAAATGTCATTTTAGGGTGAGTGCATAGGATAATATTGATAGTTTTGTCATTTATTTGCCTGAGTATCCCTTTAAGGACCACCTAAAGTATGTTCCTTGTAAATAAATATGAAACAATGGTGAAAACAACAACAAAGGTTTACAAAAGCTCAAGCCGGTGCTAGGGGCGTGAGGGATGTTGCACTTATTCATTATGCCTCATGTACAGACACAGTCAAACCGAATCTGTAATTCTTATGTAATTTTGTTGTGATTAATGCTTCTGGGGGATCACTTTGTTTCCATATTTTTACACTTCACAACATCAGGTGTCAAGTGCCGTGTGCTAGCTGTAAAAAGTTGCCCCGTACTTCACTTCACTTACATTTCTGCCAAGTAGAGTCAATTTCCTTCCACCGGTTCAAAAGACCGGACATGAAAGCTGGTAACAGACGACGGACGGACGGAGGTGGATACCAATATTTTATTCGGGCGTAAAAAGAATGATAAAAAATAATTAATAGGGGCAGGGTGGGTGCATTTTTGAAATAGTCATTGGTTGCTCTGTAGGTTAATGATAAGTATAAAGGAATGGAGCGGATTTAGTGGTATTCTGCACTTTAACGGAGATGATTCATATCGGTGAATTTGTGGTGTGATTTAAGATGAATGCCGGTAAATATTAATTGCTGTCAGTATAAATTTTTTAGAGCAATGCAAAGAAACTGTTATACATTTTCTTAAATTATGCCACGTATCCTTAAATTATGCTGTGCAGTTTTTCCCCATACTTTGATTTGTGTTTTGGCCAAAATAAACTTAAACAAAAGAATTTATATGTAGGTCATCTACTCACTTATGTAATTGGCCCGCTAGAGATCAATAATTCATACACGACCTTGAAAAAGAAAAAAATAACCGGAACGATCTAAAATTTAAACTTAGCAATTTATGTATGTCGTTGAGTATCATTAAGTTGCTGTACATTTTTTGTTAAATCGTAAACTAGAGAAAGTTGACTTATCACTTGATTAAATTCATCACTAAACATTAATTATAATGAAATAAAGCAACAATATTATTTATAGACGAAACAGTTTTTAACCCTGTTATTGTTTAAAAGGATTTTTAACGCCATCATACAGAACATACTTTATCTCTCTCCAATGTAAGGTTGTTGTCAGTAAGTTAGTGCAAGTAAAGCAAACGTTACAAGTCCATTTAAGGATACGTATCGTTGGATATTGCAATACTGTTCTGTCTACGTTGTGAGGAAATATGGAAGAAAAGTTTACAAAAAGTTACATTAAGGTGGATGGACCTCCTGTTACACTAAAATATCAAACTTTTCCGGAGGTGATGAAACATTATGCAGAGACGAAACCTGACTCTCCGTCTGTTGTCTTTGTATCAACTGACGGGACTCGAGAATGTGTAACTTGGTCACAGCTTTACCAACGATCTAAGATAATGGCAAAGTCACTGATTAAAATGGGGATTAAGAGGCACGAGGTTGTTGCTATCAACGTCCGTTGTTGTCCAGAGTGGTTATATGCTACATTTGGTGCCATGATGGCTGGGGCCATTCCAGTCAGCATATCCTTCACATATACTGACGGGAGTGACCTTATCGCTCTAATGAAAAAGATGGAAACTTGTTCGCTGCTTATTCTTGTTCCTGGTGCCGAGTTTGTTAATTGGAATATCCTTCGTAAACTTCTTGACAAGTACAAGGCTGATGGAAAGGTAAAAAGCCAAAAAATGCCGTATCTAAGATTTGTTCTAGGGGTAAGGTTTGGGTATCCCGAATTACCAAATGTCATAGGCTTGCGAGACCTTTTAGAGGAGGATCATTGTGATATAGAACTTCCCGTCGTTAAGCCAACCGATGTATGTGGACTCTTCCAGACATCTGGGAGCACAGGGATTCAAGAATGTTACATATACTCAACAATCATCTCTAAAGATGTTTAGTGATTCTGATGTTCTCGAACATTCTAATCCGAAATATATCTTTTTCGACGACAGGCCTTTCAATTGAGGTGGCGGATATCCATTTTCTATATTAACGGGCCAAACAAGGGTGACGCTTTCTGAATTTTGCGATCCTCCGAATGACAGACTTTCCTTTATGATTGACGTAATAGTCAAAGAGAAATGTACTTTGATTTGTGCTCTACCACCTCTGATGCATGAGCTTTTCGAAAGAAAGGTATATTGGATTATTTACATAAAACATTTTAAAACGTGATCTCATACATACTTGTTTATAACTTATCGTTATCCCTAAATTAAAGAATACTGCAATTAATGAAGTAAATTGTCTCTTATAAAAAAAGCAGCTTTTTATAAGCTACAAAAAAAAGTGGACGTGGTGTTGCATTTTTTAATCGTAAAAAGTAGGATCACAAGTATATCACACATATTACAACACTATACTTATACTGTACGATAAACAATTCAACTATGCTGCAATTATGACATTTTCCTTTTATTTTTCAAGGAACATTTGCCAGATGATTGGCCAGTTGAAGGCATAATGACTGGTGGACAGCCACTTACTAAGTACTTAGCTGCCTGCATAGGGAAAGCTTGTAAATTCCTTCTGTGCGTGTATGGAGGCTCAGAGTTTGCAGGCGCGACTGTAGCGAAAATAACTAATCCAAATGATTTCACCGAATTTGGATGCGGAAAACCATTTAATATGCCTGGGCTGGAAATTAAAATAGTCGACAAGAACGCAGAAATAGTGTCCGTTAATCATAGAGGAGAAATATATATTCGATCAGAGGCCATGTTTACGGGCTATTTCAATGATCCGGAGAGAACAAAAGCCGTGCTCTCCGAAGACGGATGGTATAAAACAGATGATATTGGGAGGATGACCGAAGCTGGCGAATTCTTTGTAGAGGGTCGAAAGTCCAATATGATTATTTCAGGGGGATTTAACGTTGCTCCAGAGATTCTTGAGAATGTTATGAAAACTTTCCCAGGTGTAGATTCCGTCATTATTGTACCAGTTCCAGATGGCGTTTACTATCAAGTGATGTGTGCTTGTGTTGTTAAAAAAGGAGATTGCGAAATAAGCGAAGAAGATATTCGAAAAAACTGCCACGAGTATCATGCAGACAAACCAGGACTTTTTACAGTTCTTCCGAAATACTACATGTTCCTTGAATCGTTTCCTGAAACTAGAAGTGGGAAAACTCACCGGATGGAGTTGGAAAAGATAGCACTTCAACGATTTCGTCAGAGTACTTTCTAAGATATCTTAATATAAATGTCGCGTAAGATATGCGATACGTTCTATGAAATTTCTCTAAGGCATAACCAATATTATATGTAAACAAATATATATAGATATATATATGGTTAGTATAGGATAAAAGAAGGAACACATGATGAAGAAAATATATTTATGCATTATTTGTGCATTATAATTAGTACAATATCAAATGATCATTAGAATGCTGTTAAATATTTCTTGAAGTTTATGGCTACATATACAATATTGTACTTTGAAGAATTTTTATGTTTGTGAATATGCATAAAACAACAAAACGGAAATAAATTTTATAAAAACTTAAAACTGTTTTTAACGTCTGATAGGGTATTTGGATACAGTGTTTTTGTGTCGCCTTGAAAAGGCGACATATAGGGATTACTTTTGTCGGCGGTGTCGGTGTCTGCGTCGTTGTCGGCGTCGGCGTCCCCTAAAGCTTGTCCAGAGCATAACTCAGTCATTTTAAGTTGGATTGACTTCAAACTTGGTATGCATGCTTCTTTCAATAACACAAAGTGCAGTGCACAAGGGCCGGAACTCTGCACTTTTTAATTTTTGAGTTATTGATTTTGTAAATTTTCATACTTTAATTTTGTCCGGACCATTTCTCTTCAACTATAAAAGCTATGGACATGACACTTCATATGATGATAGATCTCATTAAGAAGAAGTGCAGAGCACAAAAATCGGTACTCTGCATTTCCTAATTTTTGAGTTATTTTCCTTTGTTGATTTTCATACTTTATTTTTGTCCGGGTCATTTCTCCTAATGTATAACAACTATGGACTTGAATCTTGATAGAACTCATTAAGAAGAAGTGCAGTGCAAAGGAACAGGTACTTTGCATTTCTTATTTTTTGAGTTATTGCCCTTTGTTAATTTTCCTACTTTATTTTTGTCCGGGCCAATTCTCCTAATGTGTAACAGCTATGGACTTGAAACTTCATAGGATGATAGATCTCATTAAGAAGAAGTGCAGTGCACAAAAACCAGTACTCTGCATTTCTTATTTTTTGAGTTATTGCTCTTTGTTAATTTTCATACTTTATTTTAACCAGGTCATTTCTCCTCAATTATGAAAGCTATAGACATGAAACTTCTTAGGATGATAGATCTCATTAAGGAAAAGTGCAGTGTACAAGAACCGGTACTCTGCATTTCTTTTTTTGAGTTATACATGTAACCCTTTATATATTTTCATATTTTATTTTTGTCCAGGCCATTACTCATTAATTATAAAAGATATGGACTTGAAACTTCATAGAATGATAGATCTTATTGATAAGAAGTGCAATGCATAAAAACTGCTGCTCTGCACTTATTATTTTTTTAGCTATTGCCCTTTGTTAGTATTCGTATTTCATTTTTGTCCTGGCCATTTCTCCTAAACTATATTGTTCACAAGGCGACACATTCGACTCGCGGATTTCTAGATAACATAGACTTCTTCTTCATCACAGATGCATTTTCAAAATAAAATATGAAAACATAATTTCTTCAGACACTAAAGATAGAGATCCAGCATTTCTTAACACATTCCTTTGATGTTTCATAAAGTGTCGTGATTTTGGTTTCTGTATGTTTAAATCCTATTGCTAATTCATAAAGAGCCATCTAACAGTATCAAAATGAAGGTTTGTCATTGAATTGCAATATTTGAGAGCCTAATCAAGTCAAGGTGTTTGTCTCATAGGTAACTTCGACCATATTAGGGGCGTTGACAGTAGCTTGCACTTTCCAGTACTGTCCATCCATGAACAGGTTCAATCAAACCGAGCTTGCAACATTTTCGAATTTGGCGTTTGGGACATTCTGTAGGGATTTCATTTCTCTCTATTTTATTGCCACATCAGTATTGTTTGTGAAGGCCGTAAAAAGTCGCCCCGTACAAACAATCAGAGATGTTATATCTCGGATTTCTGATGATCGTCAATCTTGACATTACTACATGAAGGTTCTTCTATTTAACTATTTTTAACTTTGGTGATTCCAGTATCCTCGCTTGTATACTGTAATATCACACTTTGGACATGTGGCCAGCTTTTTAAATCAGACTTGTGACAGCTTATGTGTAATATGCAGGCTTTATAGCCTCTGGTTCTCTGCTCAAACTACGTCCATTGTGTTATAGTTTTAGGCATGCGTATTTTTTACTTGGGTGCTCATACGCCGCTTTTTGTTGAAGGTTCCATGATAACCGCGTAATAACAGTGTAAACACCCTGTGGATGTTTCTAAATTCAAAATTTCACCACAACCATGTTTGAATGTTAAGTTCGGCTAAAACAAGTGCTAGGGGATGTTAGTTGCATTAATGTAAATAAATAAAAAATAAATAAATAACAACTTTATTAATTTTGAGGCCATTAAACCAAAGGTGAAGATCTTTTCTTTCCTTTATTCACAAATGTTTTACATACAAATATATATATATAATGAGATAGTTTAACAAATTACATTTGAGATATTCGTATTTAATAGAATAACAACATACACATACAAAACAAAAACAAGAAAAAATCCCTGAGCTTTGAAACTATTTAGAAATTAATGTAGAGATTAGTATAATTATATCTTTTCAAAGTTTGAGTATTTTGTCACAATAAATTACTTTTATCTACTTCTATTTATAGTATTGATACATTATCTGAATGTCTGTTTGAAAAAGGTTAACTATGTTAAAATCATTTGGCCAGTTATTCCTACAAAGGCTTTATAAATACTAATACAACAATTGTGAGTAAAAGTATTATTCTTGGGATGTTTTATAGCCGAAAATCAGAATATCTAATTTGTGTGTCTTTAAATTCCGTTCTCTTATTTTTCCCCAGAACAAATTAACTGCTGATGCAATCTATAAAACTGTGTTTCTTAACAACTATAACATCGTGAAGATGAGACCAGCGCGTTTCTTTGCGCGTAAAGATCATAACAAAAATTGTTTACAGCGATTGTCCAGATTTGTTTTTAATGAATTTACATGTATTATTCAAATTCAGTTTTCCCTTGTATTTATTTGACAAATACAAATTTGTTGTTGGTTTAATAAATACTTCGTTTACTAAGTTTTGATTAGTTTTTTTTTAATTCATCAATTCAGAAAGTCTAACATTTACCACCCGACGAGCTCGAGTAAAGAATGTTCAAAGTTTGTTTCCAGTCTTGCAGAATAGCTTGAAAGAGCAAATTGCGTCTATCTACTTGTTAATTTAAGGTGACATTTAGATCTACTTCACCCTACTCGATTTAATCCATGTTTTTAAGAACAAACAATTGTTGTTTATTTTATTATCTTTTGCAAAATTATTTTTCATTTGCTGAAATGTCAAATTAACTTCTTCTTTTTGTAAATTGCATGTGTTTAGTGTTTATTCGTATTTTTCAAAGTTCTTGATATAATTCAGTCACAACTCCTTTTAATCAGGCTTTTATTGGTGTCTGTGTACAATGTACTATAAGAAATTGTCACAATAGTGTTTATGGTAAAGCTTCTACCAATATTTTAGTGTTAATAAAATTATATATGAGTCTAAAAATCTTGAAAAAAGGGTGACCCCCTAGAACCATTAATCACAACAAAATTACATGGAAATTTCTCTCGATTTGATTGAGTATGTACATAAGACATAATGAAAAAGTGCAACATCTGTCACGCCTCTATCACTGGCTTGAGAGAAAGTCAATTTTCAACGCTTGAAAGTACTGGAATGAATGATCCCAAAGGACCAATGTCTATTCCTCTTTGTAATTTATTGCGACTATAACGGTTTATATTTCCATAAAAAATTTAATACCATTGTCTTGATTTCTTTCAAGATATTATTTGACACAACTACAGAATGAAACAAGTAACTTAATTTAGGTATCAATAAATATATTATAACTTGAACGTCTCCAGAAAATCTTTAATATACGTTTCAACTAAATTTTTATTAAGCTTTGACATTCAGTTCTTTTAGATTGCCACTCTTGTATGAGCGAATGCCAAAATAGACTCCTGCATATGATTGTAATCGGTTAATATGGTCATGTTATATATCCTACTTAAAGGTCAGGGTACCTGTATAAAATTTTATGTCCCATCAGTAGTTTTTTCTGGTTGTTTCATTGTATCATTTTTTTTTGAGTAATAAGCTTTTACACATTTTGACATTATACTTAACAAAACAGCACATATTTCGGTGACGGCCTATATATAAAGAGAGCCAACTTAGACGAATCAGCTCTTCCGTGTACACATTGAAAGCAAATGAGAGTTAATAAACAGTTAACTGATGAATATGTGATGCTGAATAATTGTTTGAAAGGTAAATCTTAAATGTGTCTGTGTTCCATATACATGTACAATTATACTGTACCTTCTTTGACATGAGTTTTTAATCTTCATGATCAAGCATAATTATCTTATGCAAATCTAATCTTTCATGTTGACCTTATATGAAGAAGTAATATCTTATACTGACTACTTGTTACCTATATACGTATGTATGTATCTTTGATGAGTTATGAATAAAGATTGAATATATCATATCGGATTAAACATTGCTTACTTTGGTATTGCTTCGGCAATAGTATGTATGCATGCAATGTCTAATGAGGTTCGTCGGCACATACAGCTTTTCGCTGTCGAACATGTCACCGTCCATGCCATTTAAGGTTTATTTTGAACCTCAGAGTGGTGATAATTTTATACCTTCATGCAATTTCCACAGAGTATATATGCTGACTGAAAACAAGAATAATGTTCGTTTTTAAATGATCAATATTAAAAAATAGTACAGATAAAAAACGACTAGAAATTAAACAGCACAAAATAGTATTGCTAAAATATTAAAAATCAAAATGCTATGCTTACAAAAATATATTTCTTTTTTTATTACCTCCCATTATATTTATGCCATCATTACTCACAAAGACATCCCTCTATTGTTCATTTTTTGTACAAAAGTGGTGAATTTACTTAAAAGTCAATAAGGTGATGATACATGCTATATATCCTTATTTATATAGTTATCTTCTTCACGTTGTTTGACCCCTTGGACAAGGCCAATTTTGATCCAAGGAACATGATTTTTATAAGTTTTGTAGCTGTCAACAAGGCATCATGGAAAATATCGAAGCTTTATATAAAAATTATATTTTGGATATATGAAAGTGTGTTCTTACAAACTCCCTTTACTCAAAGTTTTTAAAAAAAAAATGAAATTCAAAAATGCATTCAGCGATAGTCATGGGATAACTTAATTTGTATTTTCTCATTTGAAGATATGCTTTGTTGTATGTATAATACAAAATCAATCAAAACAGGCAAATTTTTCATTTCTTCATTTTGATTATTTTTTATTTATTAATCTGTAAATGTCCTCAAAATGAATACAGTAGACAGTCACAGGAACAAAACTTTTCTCCGTATAAAGAATAAAATGGTGATTTCCTAGCTTGGCCCACGTGGGTCAGGTTAAAGCGTTAAAATTTCACAAGAGTTGTCACAACGTTTAAGAAAATGTCAAATGAATGATTTAGGTTTGTTTCAAGCATACAATAGTCATGATATCTGTTATTGTAACTTCCAGGGTTTGTTCAAGTCACATGACTAGTTTTAAAAAATCTCGGTCATTCTGTCGGCGTCTAAATATCAATCAACAATTATAGATATATTTACGCTTCAAACCCAAATTATATAAAATTTATACAGAAATTAATTCTGGGACTTTAGCAAATGTCATTTGAGGGTGAATGCATAGGATAATTTTGATAGTTTTGTCATTTATTTGCCCGAGTGTCCCTTTAAGGACCACTTTAAGTATGTTCCTTGTAAATAAATATGAATGGTAAAAACAACAACAAAGGTTTACAAAGGATCAAGCCGTTGCTAGGAGGAGTGAGGGATGTTGCACTTATTCATTATGCCTCATGTACAGACTCAATCAAACCGAGTAATTCTTATGTAATTTTGTTGTGATTAATGCTTCCAATGGAACACTTTGTTTCCATATTTTTACACTTCACAACAGCAGGTGTCAAGCTCCGTGTGGCAGCTGTAAAAAGTTGCCCCGTCCGTTCTTCACTTCACTTAGATTTCTGCCAAGTAGAATCTATTTCCTTCCATCGGTTCAAAAGACCGGACATGAAAGCTGGTAACAGACGACGGACGGACGGAGGTGCATACCAATATTTTATTCGGGCGTACAAAATGATAAAAAACAATTTATAGGGACAGGATGAGTGCATTTTTGAAACAGTTATTGGTTGCGAAGTGGGTAAATGATAAGTATAAAGAAATTAGGCAAACTCTGTGGTATTCTGCACTTTAACAACAATTACTGATATCGGTGAATTATGTGATTTAAGATGGGTGCCGGTAAATATTAATTGCTGTCAGTATAAATTTGTAGAGCAATGCAAAGAAACTATTACAATTTCTTCAATTATGCCTCGTATACTTATGCTGTGCAGTTTTTTTTTATCATAATTTGAATTGTGTTTTGACAAAAAAAACTTAAAAAAAAAAATTTATATTTACGTCCTCTACTCACTTATGTAATTAGCCCGCTAGAGATCGTCCTTGAAAAAGAAAAATATAACCAAAACGATCTAAAATTTAAACTTAACAATTTATGTATGTCGTTGATTATCATTAAGTTGCTCTACATTTTTTGTTAAATCGTAAACTAGAGAAAATTGACTTATCACTTGATTAAATTCATCACTAGACATAAATTATAATTAAATAATGGAACAATATTATTTATAGACGAAACAGTTTTTAACCCTGTTATTGCTTAAAAGGAGTTTTAAATGCCATAAAACAGAACATACTTTATCTCTCTTTAATTTAAGGTTGTTGTCAGTTAGTGCAAGTTAAGCAAACGTTACAAGTCCATTTAAGGATACATATCGTTGGATATTGCAATACTGTTCTGTCTACGTTGTGAGGAAATATGGAAGAAAAGTTTACAAGAAGCTACATTAAGGTGGATGGACCTCGTGGGACGCTTAAACATCAAACTTTCCCGGAAGTGATGAAACATTATGCGGAGACGAAACCTGACGGTGAGTCTGTTGTCTTTGTATCAACTGACGGAACTCGAGAATATGTAACTTGGTTACAGCTTTACCAACGATCTCAGATAATGGCGAAGTCACTGATTAAAATGGGGATTCAGAGGCACGAGATAGTTGCTGTCAACGTTCGTTGTTGTCCAGAGTGGTTGTATGCTACATTCGGTGCCATGATGGCTGGAGCCATTCCAGTCAGTATATCCTTCACGTATACTGACGGCAGTGATCTTATCGCTCTAATGAAAAAGATGGAAACTTGTTCGCTGCTTATTCTTGATCCTGGTGCAGACAGTATTAATTGGAATATCCTTCGTAAACTTCTTGACGAGTACAAAGCTGACGGTAGAACAAAAAGCAAGAAAATGCCATACCTAAGATATATTCTAGGGGTAAGGTTTGATGGACACCCAGATGCTTCATATGTCAATGACATTTGGAACCTTTTAGCAGAGGACCATCCGGATGTAGAACTTCCCGTCATTAAACCCGAAGATCTAACTGGACTTTTCCAAACGTCTGGAAGTACAGGAGTACCAAAACTTGTTGCGCATGTCCAAAGATCGTCATTTAAGGCTGTCTGTAAATTAGATACACTGGAACTTTTAAACCCTAAATATATCCTTTTTAACGACAGGCCTTTCAATTGGGGTGGTGGATATCCAGCTTCAATATTGACGGGCCAAACAAGGGTGACGTTTTCTGAATTTTGCAATCCTCCGAAGGACAGACTTTCCTTTATGATTGACGTAATAGTCAAAGAAAAATGTTCCATGATATTTGCTCTACCACCTTTGATGCATGAGCTTATCAAAAGACAGGTATATTTGATTATTTACATATGAATTTTAGAAAAAGATATACATATATAACCTTTGTTCCAATGTATGCTTACTTGATATAAAAGACGAATGTAATATTTTAGGACGGTACTGCACCCATTTTGCAACCATTGAAATAAAAAGTTTTTATCATAACAAAAACAAAACAAGAACGTATTTGGTAAACACAAATGCCCCACGCCCTATACTCGCTTTAACTTTCTTTTCAAAAAAAATTTGGCCATTCACTCAGTTATGGACAGAAAAAATGCCAAAAAAAGTTGTTATTACAGGAACATGTATATAACTTGTGGCATGACATGATATCATGATCGTTTAAAATATGTTTTTAATATGAACCTTATTTAGGAATGAATGTTAACCCATATCTATGTAAAAAAGACACCTAAGTAGTGTTTGCGTTCGTAAATGCATATTAAAAATAAAATGTTAGTTAAACACAATATTATGATTGTGATTGTGCTTATGATAAAACGGTCAAATGTTTAAGTAAACATAAATTTTTATCCGAAAGTCCAACAGAGACTTACAACACTTTTGAAGGCTTTTAAGATGCCAAACATCACCTTGTATCTGTTGGTCTGAGCATAAAAATCTAAAAATTGGAGATTTCTTGAGAACAAAGATATCTACAAACAATGTAGAAAAAATGTAATGTCAACGTCTATTGGAAATGCTGATGTTTTATCTTTGACGAATAACATGTTTTAGTTTAAACATACTTTTTTTGTTCAATTGTATAGAAAACTATAAGCTAATAAACATATTCTTGAGCCAACCATGACTGTAAAGTTTTCGTCAAAGACAATGACGGCTATAAGCGATCCTTAGAATATTTAGAAACTACTCGGTCACTTTGGCAAAATGAATAAGTCATTCAAGACCTTGGCATCGTGATGAACTGATTAGGGGCGGGGTAAAAACTGTGCAAATATAAGAGGTATGTTCCAATATTCTCTAAACAAGATTATTTTAAAGCTGAATTATAATAAAATAGGTACGAATCAAATATTTTAATATGTTATAAATGCATATAATTGAAATATTTCCTCACATTTAATTGAAAATAAATATCCATAATTAATCACAGAACCGGATATCTCTTCGCTGCGTCTCACGTTTTTCAGGCGTTCCTATTTTCTATCAGATGATTTTATTTATCCGTACAAAGCTAGCGGTAGAATAAAAAGTAAGGAATCATATTGGATTGACACCTAGAACTTTCATTTTTCATGGACATGCGAGATCTTTTAGAAGAGGACCATCCTGATGCAGAACTACCCATCGTTAAGCCAAGCAATGTGTGTGGACTCTACCAGACATCTGGAAGCACAGGGGTACAAACATTTGTTACATATATTCAACAATTTGCATGACTGTTTTGCGAATTGAAGACCGAACCTTTTTTGGGTGAAAGTGTTGAAAAAATGTTTTTATTTTTCTTTAGTATTTTTTTTTATTTCCAAGAATTACTCGATCGGCTGCTTTCGTAAACAAAGTCTACTATCCTGCATTTGTTTAAAGCAATACAAGATAAACCATGTTCAAACCAGACATATTCCAATCAGTTCAAAGGTAGATTAAAAACAAAAAATATATTATCTTTGATCGGCAGGGAAATGATACAGGCTGTTGAGATCGAAAACATACCGGCAAAATGACAAAAAGAAACAATTTAAAACTTCCAAGAGAACTGCATGTAGTATAAAAGCAAACTTAATAAGTCCCGTTCATTATATTTGAAGTTCATAAAATTTAATGCTCATTTACCATAAATGTTTTACAATAAGACTGTCCCTAAAATTTTCTTACTGTCACTGTTCAGAACTGTTCAACATTTAGGGGAGAAGATGTGTAAGCGGCCGGATAGCTCATCGGTAGAGCCGCGGTACGCGTATTTTCGAAGGTCCCGCTTCAAGTCCCCGGTCAGGGTTTTCCCCATTTTTCACCCTGTGGGCATTTGGCGTCCAAAGTGGGGCCGTGGGTGGTTTAAAAACTCCGAGTTTAAAATTTTACATTTTTCTTTTTTACCCTTTTGGGAAAATTTGAGACGAATTTTTAAAAATAAAACGGGGGAGTTTTTCCCCGGTTCAGAAAATTTTTTACTATTTTTGGGGAAATTAAATGTTTAAGCGGCCGGATAATCAGTTTGGGAAGGGCCCCGGTTTTCGGTTTTTCCGAAGGTCCCCCGGGGTCGAATCCCCGGGCAGGCTGCACAAATTTTTTTCACCCTGTGACATTACAAAAACCCAAAATTTAAATTTAAAAATAAATCAAAAATTATCAGATTTACCTTTGGGATACATGTACCGGTAAAAAAGATAAAAGCTTTTTGGAAACAAGGGTTTTTTCATTGGGAAAAAAACTAAAGGGAATCGGGGTTTACATTGGGGGAAAAACAGTTTTTGGGGTTCCAAAC